ACACACACACAGAGACATCCTGCACACACTTCAAGAGAAACTGCAACACAATAGCCCATAGTGACATCCACTGGTAGCAACCAGATCTTAATGCCACAACACAGTCTTCCGTTAGAGGAAAGCATCAACTCTAGAATATTGCTATTTTTACTGAAACATCTGGATGCGAAGTCTTGCTCCTCATTGGGATGTTTGGTCTCCACACTACCAACCAACCAGATATTTGAAAACATACAGATGCCTGATAGAATTTCACTTTATATAGCCAGATGTTTGGGGACTAGATAAAAAACATGCCAAGAATAAACTACAAACCACTAATCACCTGCATCTCCACACACTCCCGTTCTCTCCTCCCCCTAATCTCCCTTTCCCATCTGACACTCCTACTCCAAGTCTCTCTCCAGAGTTCATCACTGCAACAAGACAGGGTAGCTGCCAACACTCCCTCTTCTTTCAGTACCTGTCCCAAAAACACTGTGCCCTGGACACCAAGTTGTGGTGGTTTGGTGGTTTTCCTGAAAATATGAACAATCCTCTCTCTCTCTCTCTCTCTCTCTCTCTCTCTCTCTCTCTCTCTCTCTCCCCTCCCCCCCCTCTGTTTTTCCTGCCATAACTTCAAACCTTCATGGAGACAGCTGTGCAAATTTTAAAATGATAATTGCTCATCATTAGGTGACAGAATCCATTCAAACACTAAATGATTGTCTTCCAGCAAATTGTCAGATCAAAAGAATTGATCAACTTGGACTGTCACAAACTTTTCACCCTACAAAAAGAAGCACTGCAAGTATGCTGCATGCATTTAAGTAGGAAACAGAAGCACTGAGATTTTCACACAGAGACACAGATAAGCACACCTTATTCAATCCAAGACAAAGAAAGAAAACTTGGCTTTACCTGCAGTTGTAGGTCCGGATCTCTTTGTTGTCTCGCTTGCACTTGATTGCCACGAAGATCATAGTTACAAAGAGGATGCCCGCAATGGAGCCCAGGGCAATAATGAAAATCAAGGACAAGTTCACAGAGCCCATTGACTCTTGGGCATCGAGAGCAGGGGACAAGTAGATTAGGACGAGAGCAGAGGCAGAGAGAGATGTCTTGCCGTGGTCGTGGGCCACCACGATAAGCTCATAGGAGGACTTGGAGCTATCCCCGAAGGTGCGGGTGGTTCTGACTTCACCATTGATCTGGTCTATTTCAAAGAAGCCGCGGTCGCCCTCGGTCATGTCGTAGGTGACTCGGCCATTTTCGCCCTCATCGTAGTCGTCTGCCTTGACAACAGTCACCAGGTAGCCTATGCCAGAGTTGCGGGGTATGTAGACCTCGGCAGTGCCGTTAATCAGAGGTGGGGCTGTGATGACCGGGGTGTTGTCGTTAACGTCGAGGATGATGACCCGCACCGTCGCGTTGCTTTGTAGTGAAGGGAGGCCGCCGTCCTTGGCCAGCACCTTGAATTCGAACGCCTTGGTCTGCTCGTGGTTAAAGGATCGCAGGGCATAGATATCGCCTGAGTTGGGGTTGATGGAGACATAGGTGAAGACAGGCATGTCCCTCACTTGCGACGGCACGATCTGGTAGGAGACACTGCCGTTGAGACCCAGGTCGGGGTCGCGGGCAGACACAGAGAGCAGATAGGCGCCAGGTGTGTTGTTCTCCTGCACAATGACCTGGTAGTAGGGCTTAGAAAAGTGTGGGTGGTTGTCATTTTCGTCAGTGATGAGCACGGTAAAGGACTTGGCACTCTGCAGCATGGGCACGCCGCCGTCGCGTGCCTGAATTGTGAGGTTGTATTGGTCGTGCTGCTCGCGGTCCAGCCGTCCGTCCACTAGAATAGTGGAGAAGCTCTCGTATTCCTGCAATCGAAAGGGCACATTGCCCAGCAAACGGCACTGCACACGTCCATTAAGGCCCGAGTCGCGATCAGACACCCGCACCAAGGCGATCACGTAGCCCGGGGGGGCGCTCTCGCTGACCTCCACAAGCTCGCTATTGACTGACAGCAGGTTGATGACCGGTGGATTGTCATTGGTGTCCAGCACGCTGACGGTGACCTTGCAGTGTGCCGGGATGGAATTGGGCCCTAAGTCCTTGGCCTGCACGTCCAGTTCATACACGTGGCCCTCTTCATAATCTAAAGCGCCAGTGACAGTGACCAGGCCACTGTGCGGGTCAATCTGAAAGAGCTCGCGCGTGCGGTCGTTGACGTAGCCATAGAAGGAGTAGACCACCTGGCCGTTGGTGCCCTCGTCTGGATCGCTGGCGTTGAGGCGGATGACGGGTGTGTTGGGAGGGGAGTTTTCTGGCACGCTCACTGTGTAGGTGGACTCGCCAAACACCGGGTTGTTGTCATTGGAGTCGGTCACCTTGATGTTGAGGCCAACGGTGCCCAGGCGTGGCGGGTCGCCACCGTCTAGCGCAGTGATGCGAAAGCTGTAGTGCGACTGTGTCTCGCGGTCCAGGTTCTTTTCCACTACCAGTTCGGCAAAGCGCGAGCCGTCGCCACGCGTTTTGATCTCCAGGCCAAACATCTCGTTGGGAGTGAGCTCGTAAGTCTGCACGCCAAAGCTTCCAGAGTCCGGATCATAGGCGCTGTCCAGCGGGATGCGTGTGCCAGGGCTGGCTGCCTCCGAGATCTCCAGCTCTATCTGTGCTGCTGGGAAACTGGGCGCATTGTCGTTCAGGTCCTTGATCTCTACCTTAATCACGCAGATTTCCATTGAGCTGGACATGACCTCGAGTGAGATGATACACTTGGGGCTCTGGCGGCACAGCAGGTCACGGTCAATCTTCTGCTTGGTGACCAGGAGGCCAGAGCTGGGGTTGATGTCCACTAGGTGTGGAGCCGAGTTGGACACCACGCGAAAGGCTGAGGCCTGCCGGGGGTCCAGCGCGAAGCCGGCATCCCGCGCATCCTTGGCCACGTTGGCAATCACCGTCCCGGCACGCTGCTCCTCTTCCACCGAGTACTTTAGGTTAATGAGGGCGGCTGCCTGCGTCCACAGTACCGCCAGCAGCAGCAGCACCGGCAGCAGGAGCGACTCCATGGCTGCGCGGGGCTCTGCCTGGCCTCGCCTCTCCACACCCCTCCGAGGCCGACGCCGTCTGCGCTCCAGCTTCCCGCCGGCTCGGGCCGCCTGTTGCGCGCGTCCAGTGGCCCCGGAGGCCCCGGGAGGAGTCCCGCCCAGGGCGGCCCGGCGGCGCGCGGGGGAAACCCGTGGCGGCTCCAATGCTGAGGTTGCGGTGGACGCGGCGGGGGCTCGCGGGGGCCCCGGGGGCTCCGTGGGGCCAAGGGAGCGCCGCGCGGCCCCGAGCCCCCTCCCTCCAGCCCGGCTACTCAGTTTTCCCCCTTCAAAGTTAGCCGGGCGCAACTGGCTGCAGCCGTTCAGGGCTGCGGGTCGGGCGGCGTCTACGCTGCCTAGACGACGCGCCACTGAGTCCGGACAGTACTTGAGGCGAAGGCAGAGAGGGCGGAGGAGGCGCAGCCTTTCAGGCACTGCCCGGCACGCCGCGGCGCACCGGCACTGAGGCTGGCGAACTCGCTGTCTGTGCACCTGGCATGCGCAAAGACCTCCCCCCAGCGCTCCCGGTTCACTGCGGAGAGAGTACCCGCCTGGAATGCGCCCTCTGGGATCTGGGGGTGCCACACTGGCCCCTTCGAGGCCTGTTTGGGAGAAAGGGGGTGTCACAGGCTGGAGTCAGTTACTGGCAAGCGCCGCGGGCACCCGGGTATAGGGCTGAGCCGGATGGCGGTCCCGGGGCCAGCAGAGAAAGGGGGAGGGGAGAGATGCTGCCAGGGCTTAAGCGCGCTCTCTCGAGCTATGGCTGGCTTTAGAGGGCTTGGGGGCGCGTCTGTCCGGGATACGAGGCGGGAGCGGAGTTCCACCCACAGAGCAGTTGAAGGGCTGCGGGCGTTAGCGTCTCGGAAATCAAAGTTAACAACGCAGCCCGACCCTACACATCAAGTTTGTGGAAACGGGGAGATGACAATTTGTCCAAGAAAATCAAAGCCCCGCTCTTTCCAGTGGCCCGGGGTGGCGGGGAATGGGGAAGAGGGAAGGAAGGGGAGGCAACAACAGTACCGGCCAGGAGAGGCGGGGCCGCCGCTGTGGGTACCGGGTGCTTCTCTCCGTTTGGGTTGGGGTGTCGCTCCAAGAACCGCCGCCGCCGCCGCCGCCGCCGCCGCCGCCGCGGGAGGAAGCCCTCCTAGCTCAGTTGCATGTCGTTGGGGTCCGCCTCAGCAGCTGCCACAATCGACGATTTTGTCGCCGCCAAAGTTTACTTGCTGGAGAGTCTTGATTTCATCTTCTTGAAGAGGCGCTGGCCGCGCTGCGTTGGGATCTCTCCCTCCCGGGCGCTGGCGCACTCGGGAGGTCTGTCTCGCTTTCTCTGTCTGTCTCGGGCTGTGTGTGAATGTGTGAGAGAGAGGAAGAGTGAGCGTGTGGTGTGGGGAGTGTGAGTGTCGAGTATGAGCAAGCAGGAGGCAATGGGTACGGGGTAGGAGGTTTAGGATTTCGGATGAATCCGCTCAGCCGGAATGCAGCGGAGCGCAACGCGCCCAGGGCCAGCGCCCGGCTAGGGACGCGAGTGCCAGTGCCTCCGGGGCAAGCCGGGCATGGTGCACAGGAGCTGTGCTGCCGTCTGTGCCCGCTCGTCCGTCGCCCCGCTGCGCCAGCCGCCGCCGCTACTGCTGCTGCAGCTCCTCCCGATGCCGCAAACTACTGGCCGCGGAGTCTGGAGAAAGCCAGAGAGAGCCCGAGCTGCCGAGCCCGGCTACGCCAGGCGCTGGCCAATCAGCGCGCCGCCCAGCGGGCTCCAGTCTTGGGGCGGGGCCAAGGGGCGGTGGGGGGTGGCGGGGTGGGTGGAGCCAAGCGGAAACTTACACACCGGCGGGACCAAGTGGTACCCCGGCTGGTGGAGCCCTGGCGGGATTCAAGGGAGGACGGACAGGCAGGCCAGGCGGGAGCAATAGGGCAGGAATGAGCAGGGAGGCGGTGAGCTAGCGCTGCGGCTGAGCCTCACTGGGAACTCTGCGCCTCTCATGTTTGCAGAGATTTCAGGAAAGATGAGGACGATATGATTCTCTTGCCGTGTTTAGCTCCCTTACATATCTTCATATCTTGAATATAATATATATATATATATATATATATATATATTATCTCAGATATATATCCCTCTCTTTTTCCTTGTCGCTTCATCCTAAAAATTTGTTTTTGTTTTCCTCTCATTCTCCGGTAGTGGAAGAAAGATCGGGAAGGAGAAAGCGCCCCTGACGTGGTCATTCATCCAGCTCTTGGCCGGTGCGTCTTCACTTCAGGCGAGAGCCACGGCCGCCATCCCCCACACCCCGTCCCGGACCGTCACCCCCATCCTTCCACCCTGGGCAGACGCCGCACTACTCTCTGCCCGCCGCACTTCCAGCAGGGCCCCTGGTTCGGTTCGCTCTTGTCTGTTGCTTGTTAATCAAATGGGATATGTGGCCCGAGGAGGGGGCTGGACACATTTAATTGTCCCTCACCCCACCCTGTTGCCCCTCACCCCACCCTGTTGGAGAATTTAGCTCCCTATAAATAAACTACGTTTGAGAAGAGCCGGTGGAGCGGACGCCGCTGCGCCGCGCCAAGCCAAGCCAGCAGAGCTTCGAGCCCTGCAGGAGCTGTGGGGCGGGCGCGCCATACGTGTCCGCTTAGGTCGCCGACAGCTGGGAGCCGGCGCCGGTGTGCGGGGCGCCCCAGCCTTCCCGCGGGGTCTGGGTCCCAGAGGGCTGCCAGCTTCACTTCGGCGGTGGTGGTGGCTGCGGCATGTGCCAATACTGGGAAGCGGGAGGCCGACGTGGCCAGGGCTGACATCAAGCTCATCCTGCCTTCTGTACTGAAGGCTCCCTGGGGGCAGAGGGGCATTCCTCCCCAACCCGGCTCTGAGGCTTTTAATTAACGTAGCCAGCGGTAAAGACTCAAAAACACCCCCGTTAAACAAGTTTTTTTTTTTTTCTCCTTTCGTAGAAGCTGGGGAAGCTGCTTCTGAATTCACAATTCTTGGAAGAGTAAAAATGTCTTCTGAGTGAGTCGTCTCGGATATTTGGGAGTCGGATAAGCAAACTCATAATTAGCCCAGCGACACTGGCTCGAGGCTGTGGGCTTAACATGAGAGCCACTTTTGCCCTTTAAAAAGCGTTAAACAAGAAAAGGAAACCGGCATTTGGACACATAATGGGTTTTCTCAAAACTGCCATCTTCTTGCGGAGAGCAACCCAGCTGCTTTTTAAAATATTTTTCCTTCCAAGAGGAGCTACTTTAGCAGCCTTTACCTTGGCGGTGGGAGAGGGGAAAGGCAGCTCCCTCCTACAGAAAGGAATTATTTCGCGAGTGAGGTTGCGATCCCCTGAATGTGCAGCCGAGGCCAAAGGGAGAGCGTAGGGAGCCTGATCTGCTTTCCGCGTGGGGGTCGTTTGACTGTTTTACGTGAGGATGTGATTCGGCCCAGAACAGCAGGGAGAAAACCGATGCTTCTGCAATGAGTATCATTTAATTTTGGTCATTTAGAGCTGCAGGTGGACATCACAGTGGTGGCTCAAGGGAGCCCAGTGGCCCGCCCGGTTTTCTCCAGGCACCGTTGGAGAAATGGGCAAGTAGTAGAGAATGACAACATGGCAGGCAGCGGTGGGTGCGCCTCGCGGGCTCCGCGAAAGGAAGGGTTCCATTTGATTTATCACAATTATTTACCTTTGATGTCAGAGTGTGGGAATGAAGTGCATCTTGGTCTAATTAAAAAGGCCTAAAAAGGCATTTGAAATGGGTTTACTATCTGATCACGGGATGTGAATTCGGCGTTTGGCAGCTTTCTAAAATATTGCTTGGACTATTTAAACAGAACAATTAGCAGCATGCTAAAATGTTTGCATGCTATGCTTAGAAGCTTTTAGCTGTAAACTTTAAGGCGATCTGTTCCCCCTTTAAGTTAAAAAAGGATGATGCTGCTTCCTTGTGGCGAAGGCTGTCAGGAACCAACTGATCAATAAAAGTAAACTGGCGCCTCCACGGCTTGACTGAGCGGGAGCAAAGAGTCTGAGAAGTAGTCTCGGCCATTAACAATCCCCCAGGTAACAAGAAATGGAAGAATTATTCAGGTAAAATGATTAACATTGTCGTAGCATCTGAAAAGATGCACACAAGATAAGACTGCAGACCTCTTACCTTAGGGAGTGCTAATAGAATGTCTATATTCTGCTGTCTTTTAAAGATAAATAGGAGAATTCAATTCATGTACAAAGTCATTACCTTCGTAATTGCAATCACATTGTAAAGACATGTTCTGCATTTGCAAAGACAAACGCTCTTTGCTAAGGCGATGCCACCATGTTCCCTGCTTCCTGCTCGCTATTCACACTCCAGGCACCCCTCTTTTACAAGAAGAGCACCCAAGTACTTCCAGCTACCAAACCACTTTTACACAAGCCAGGTGCGGAGGGAGGCAGGGGTGTGTGCCTGTGCTTTCCTTCTTTCCTATTATCTCCTCCCCACTCCTAAGCTCAAAGTGACAGTTACACAGCATTCCCCACCCCCATACACAAAATAGCTGTTCCATACCCCAGTCTATTTCTACATATAATCCTAAAAACAGCCTTTGCCCTCAGAATTCCTTTTTTCCTAATAGACACACTTGATCATTACACTCCAACCATGCCGTTGACTAAATGAGTAGTCCAAAACACTTTCATGATCAGGAATTTATTAACGAACTGAATAAAATCGTTCTGCATGTAGATAAAAAAAACAAGAAAGTTCTCTCGGTTTAGCTTCCCTTTACTTCAATCCTGAAGGGAGCCCCGCCTCCTCAGCCTTCTTTAGAGACACAAGAGGGACATCTAGTGACCGTCCTCGGTATTTTTTATCCAACTGCTACTGATAAATACTATGGTGCTGTGCCGCCTATAGCAGCTCTCTAGACCAAAGCAGCTCCTTGGGCCACTGAGGCCAGAATCAAAATTTGTTGAGACTTTTTTGTCTTTAAAATTTCATCTATGCCACGAAAATCGTGATGAATGGCAATAAAAGAAGACCAAAATGGAAGAAATCTTACTTTGAAATCAAACCAGTATGTGAAGCTAAT